CTGGTGGCCAGAGGTTTTCTACAACAACCAGGTATTGACTTCAATGAAGTGTATACGCCTGCTTCTAGGATCGAAACAGTCAGGATTGTTGTTTCGATAGCTGCATATAGAGGATGGAAAATGCACCAACTTGATGTGAAGTCAGCATTCTTGAATGGGCCTCTGGAAGAAGAAGTTTATGTCACTCAACCACCAGGATTCAATGTCAAAGGGCAGGAGTTGAAGGTTTACATATTGAGGAAATCTCTCTATGGCTTGAAGCAAACTCCTAGAGCTTGGAATAAAAGGATAGATAGCTTCCTAATCGAAGCAGGATTCACAAAGTGTGTCTCTGAACATGGAGTATATGTAAATGATGTCGAAAGTGCCAATCGAATCATTTTATGCCTCTATGTTGATGACTTACTCATTACAGAAGCAGATGAAGCTGAGATAATTAAGGTAAATTCAAAGTTAATGCAGGAATTTGAAATGTCTGATTTAGGGAATCTTTCCTACTTCCTGGGAATGGAATTCAAAGACATCGAAGGAGGAGTTTTTTTGCATCAAACGAAGTATTCTCAATATATATTGAAGAGGTTCAATATGAGTAGCTGTAAGGAAGCTGTTACTCCATTAGAGACTGGAGAAAAGCTGAAGAAGGAATCAAATGATGAGTTTATAAGTTCGACCATTTACAAACAAATCATTGGATCATTGAGGTATCTTTGCGATACTAGACCAGATATCTGCCAAAGTGTGGGATTGTTGAGCAGATTTATGGATAAGCCTCGAGAATGTTATCTCATTGCAGTAAAGAGGGTGTTGAGATACATCAAGGGAAATGTTGATCATGGTGTGTTATTGCCAAAAGGATCGAAGAATAGTACAGAGGTCGAAGTGCATGGATACACTGACTCAGGTTTTAGTGGAGATCAAGATGAAAAGAAGAGTACTGCAGGGTACATCTTCATGATCGAATGCGCTCCAATCTCCTAGAGTTCGAGGAAGCAAAGCATTATGGATTTGTCTTCATGCGGAGCAGAATATGTGGCTGCATCATATCCTGCATGTCAAGCAGCATGGATCGAAATTCTACTTGAAGAGCTTAGAATAATGGAGTCGAATATGAAGTTGTTTGTTGATAACAAGTCAGCAATAAATCTTGCGAATCACCCAATGTGTCATGGTCGAAGTAAGCACATTGAACGAAGGTATCATTTTCTTAGAGACCAAGTAAACAAAGGGAAGCTTGAAATAGAACATTACAAGAGAGAAGTGCAACTAGCTGACATATTCACCAAACCTCTGAAGAAAGTGAGATTCGAAGAGTTAAAGAAAGTCATTAGGATGAAAAGTCTTGATAACATGAATTAAGGGGGGGTGTTAGTTGGTTAATTCTTGTTAGTTGCTATTTGGGCTTTAACTTCTATTTGGGCCTGGGCTTGTTGCCTATATAAAGAGCCATTACTTTGTAATCCATATATACAGCAGCATCAAAATAACAGTTTCAGTTTTAAAGAGTTAGTTACACTAACTAACTCAATAATATCTCTCTTCTTGTTGTTGTTGTTTTTCACTATATTCATCTTTCTTGAATCCTTTGTTCCAACAATATCTAGAAACACTAGAAAAACAAGATTAGACACATGTCCTAGGATCAATATAGTCGATCTTGCGAGTAACCAGAAATTATCTTTGTTTTTGGAGGACAAGCTATTGTTTACCAAATTTCACGGTAAACACCAGACCCAAAAATAGGAATCAATGGTCAAGTGTTTGGGACAATATATAAACCCTCACACTTGTGAGGGTCAGGTATTCAATATTCACTCTAAAAACTATAAACTCTCTCTGGTATCTCTTTTCACTCTTACTTACTTAAGCATCAGAGTGCCATACAAGTACACCCCCCTCCCCCTCGAGTCCAGCTCTGCATACGTCATCTATCAGCCTATTACAGGTTCTGATCATCGGTAAGATCAATTACCATTGAAGATTAATGATTATGTAAAATAAATTTTAAGATGATGTGCTACTGCTTGATAATGTGATACTATATGGTTGTATGATTGCCTAAGTGGCGGGAGTTGCCTAAGTGGCGGGATTTGCATTTGCATTATCATTTCATGGCATATGTATTGTTTGCCTTAGTGGCGCGTTGCTTTAGTGGCGGGTTATTTTGCTCATTGATATGGGATGAATTCTATGTGGTGCCTTAGTGGTGGATTGATTATATTTGGATCATTTAAATTTAGAGAGATGCATATTCACTCATAAATATATGATTTCCCTTAAGTTGTTGTGTTTTGTATGATTTGTTTTACAATACCGTAATGTATGTTTTATTTGATTTGATATAGATGATAGAGGACTGATCCCTTACTAATAACATATTAGAAAAAATTAAAGAGGTGAGTTGATCGTGATATGATGTTGCATGTGCTTGTTGCCTTAGTGGCGAGTTATTTTACCCATTGATATGAGATGAATTTTGTGTGGTGTCTTAGTGGCGGGTTAATTATATATGGATCATTTAAATTTAGGAGCATGCATATTCACACACAAAAAAATATAATTTCTCTTAAGTTGTTATGTTTTGTATGTTTTATCTTATAATATTGTATTGTATGTTTTATTTGATTTGATATGGATGATGGAAGACTGGCCCTTACCAATAACATATTAATTAGGTACGAAAAAATTGAAAAGATGAATTAATGATAATATGATATTGCATGTGCTCATGAGAATGAAATCGAATTTTATTAAACTTGTAATTTAATTTAAAATAAATTTGAATATTTAAATATGATAGTTTATTTAGATTGTGAATTATACATCAGTTTGTGAATTAAAATTATGATTTCTAATATATAAAAAATACGAATATAGTTAAGTTTCTTTTTTAAATGCATCATAATTATATAATTTATTAAAGAAAAAAATAGTTTCAATTTTTTTAAGCTAATAACTATTTTAATAATATCTCAAATAAAAAAAAATGAAATATTACATGAGTGATCGAGAAATCTTTATGAGCGAGGTGTTGCACTACTTGCCTCCCATGTTTCCCCTTATGGACCAGTTATTAATATAAAAGTACACAATCTTAATGGATCGGGTGACTTAGAAATTACTTCCCTATGACCAATCTTTAACAAGTCCAAGTAAAGAAATTATTTATATAAAAATTAATTATTTCAAAAAAACCACAAATTTCTATTTAAAAAGTTAACTATTTAAATCTTTAAAAGACTGTCTTCATAACATCGTTAGTATTCCACTACAAATATAGTTGCCGTGTAAAAACTATTTATGCTACTATTATTCAACCCTTGAATCATTTTTATTTATTTAAGGGTGTTAGTATTCAACCCTTAAACTTTTTTAATATAAGATTTCAAAAAATACAATTTCAATCAATGAAACAAACATCATAAGAATGGCAAGAGAGAAGGTATTATAGTAATTTTCTTATTCTAGTTTGAAATTTTTTTCTCATATTCAAATTCATAAGTGTGAGAGCATCAACTTTTATAAATATGTTTATATCGTATCTTATGAATTTATATGTGATTGTATCGTATCTTATGAAATCTCAGTATATCCATATATTTATATTTACTCTCCAATCAATTATAAGATATCATATTATTTAATTTTTTAATAACATTAAAATTTCTAATATTTTATATTTGAACTAAAAGTATTAATATTAAAATGCGAAACAATCCTATTATTTTTAAATTTGATATGTGTATCTTGTATAAATATATAAATTAACATGTATAAATATATATATTGTCGCACGCGTATTTTATTTATTTAAGTGAATAATCATTATTTATTCAATAAATATATAATATTCAATTACCATCCCTACTTCTATAAATAGTTTGCTCCAACTGAATAACGGTGAGGGGAAAACCATTTGTCCTAATTTGGAAAATAGGAAAAAGATTTTAAGTTTTAAGCACTTTGAGAAATGAGAATTCGAGCTAAAACCAACTTGAAAGCATTCAACACGCATAGTTGTTACATTTTCACCTAAGACCCAACAAACGCATTATAATGATGGCACCCTTTATTTGCAAGATATTCACATCTATGGCTAAGAATTTACTACACTGTGCACCAACTATATACTTTAGTAAAAATATCATCTATTAATCAATGAATGAAATATTATCATTACTATTATTGTTTATTATATTACCAAATATACAACTAGTAGGTGAACATTGTAATTTATGTAGTAATTCATGTGGTGGGATCATCATAAATTAAACAAGGAAGTTCAAACAGTTATTGTAATATAGTCCTACAATGAATTATAACAAAAATATAATCATACGATAGGGACCAATTTGATCATTTTCCAACGCTCCTGTCTCGTATTCACGGGTTATTTCCCTTTGAATTGAAAGATATAATATTGCAATCTACCTACCACAATAACACAAATTCCCAATATATTATTTTCAACCATTAATCATCACGTTTCACTATTAGTGTGTGTGTGTTATGGGCCTCTAATTAAAAAGGGTTTCATCATTTATGTACCTTAAAATGACATGGGTTTCTAATTTCTAATTTTCCAAAATTTTCATCATAAAACAACGTAATACTACAAATAGATCTTGAAAAAGAATCGTTGAAAAAGTTGCCACAAAAACCGGTAAATGGCTTAATCAACAGTTAAATGAACTTTATAATTGTTTTTCCTTAAAAAAATATTGGAATTAGTTGTGACATGATCCTTCTCAAAACAGTGCCATGTGGAGAGATTAACGTTAACCTCTCCGAATATCTCTCTCTAAAATCCTTGTTTGTTTGTTTCTACCAACAACTGATTCAGTATCAAAAATCTCCTCCGCAAAGGTTGTTCTTTTTTCCTAACCGTTAAACCCCTTTTGTTTCTTATACAACAAAAGCAAAACCACATTCACTATTTGTACTCCGTATTCACATTTTTTGTCTTTCACTTTCATATTCTGATAATCATATCAAACTCTGAAATGGGACAAGAATCAGATTCCAAAGCCAGGTTGGTGTTAGAGATTTGTTCCATTTCCACACGTTCTGCAACATGTGTTCATACCATTCTTTCAAACCCAACCAAAACAACTTTCATTGACTGGTATTGCATTCTTGGAGTAAGTTCTCTTCAAACTTTCTTTTTGCCTTCTTTCTTTCTCATTGATACGTATATCTTAATATTGGATTCTCATAGGTAGAAGAAAATGCAGGGGTGAATGTCATTCGCAAGAGATACCGAAAACTGGGTAGGTTTATCTGGTTTTACTATTGTGTAGAGTCTGCATTCTCTCTCACACACACTTGAATAATGAAAAAAGATATTCTTATTTGGTTTTTGTATGTAGCTTTGCAGCTTCACCCAGATAAGAACAAACATCCAAAGGCTGAAATTGCCTTCAAGCTTGTTTCTGAGGCAAATGCATGTCTAACTAATGCAGCAAAGAGAGAAGCTTTTGATTTTGCGAGGTACAAGCATTTCTGCATTGAATGCAAGAAAATTCCATATACAACTACAGACAATGTTTCTGGAAATTCCAATGGTTCAAGTTTTTCGGCATGGAATATTATCACAAGGTCAAGATCTTCAAAGTTTTGGAGAAATATTAGGGATATTAGAGAGAGATTTAAGGAAGAGGCTAATGTGATTGAGAATTGTTTGAGAGTAAATTCAATGTCAAGGACAGAATCTCCACTCTACAATCCTGATAGTTATCTAGATAGAAGAAGCAAGTCACAAGCACAGCATAGATTTGAGAAAGAAACCCCTATTTTCAATCCTTCAGATTACTCATACCAAGATTATCCTCATATGAGAAGCCATGTTAACAAGAATTCTTCCACATTTTGGTATTTGCAGACAAATAGTATGCTGCACAACGAAAAGAGAGGACAGCTTAGCTCCCCTGTTTTTGAGGTCAAAAGTAGGAGTATGTTTACCAACCAATTTGCTTTTGTACCATCAAGATATTAGATTTTAAGATTTAATTAAAGCAGTATGATTTTGCATTATCGCTTCTTTAAAAGATTAATTACCTTTCATATTGGATTTGTCATGATACATGTAAACTGTTGAAATCTCTATGCGTAGAAGTATTGATTAATTTAAACATGGGCTAATGTAGCATGAAAAACTAAGTAATAATAGGCTAAATAATAATATAATATGCAACAAAGGTAGTAGTACAATAGGTGGTTTAGTATTCTTTATGCTACAATAAATGTGAAATTACTGCAATTTAAATTGGACAAAATTTGATCACTGCTTAAGGTGTCAACTGATAAGTTTTTTAGGTTTGTCAAAACTACAATGAAAGCAGCTTTTCTTGATAACATTAGTTTAATGCCTTTTAACAAATTTTCTAACCCATTACCGCCTCCTCCAGAGAATGTGTACGATTTGCTACTGATTCTCCTTTTGAGATATACAGTTTCTTTCTCTGTGGAGCATAAACGAAAACTATTGGGTTGCTTGTTCTTTAGACTTTGGGTTCTTGAGAATTCCATTATCAATCAAAGGCTGCAACTCTTTTTCGGCAAGCTTTTGTACCTTTAAATCTGATGATTCCAAAAATGCAGAGATAATCTTACAGCTGCAATCACAGTGCCAAGAAAAAGAAAAACATGAGAAATTGGTCTTATGCGCACTAATTCCATTAGAGGATAGGATAGTAATATACGAGCAAATGAGACCTACCTGTGACCATGGGCCCATAACTCGGTTTTCCCTTTTAGAGCTTCCTCCCATAAGACAGAAGCAAAGTCGGGGCAATCCAAAATTAGTTTTCTGATGGTCCTACTTGAAAAGAAATTTTCGAAGACATGCTCCTCTTGTGAATCTTCTGACTTAGGCACTGCTGCAAGATATGATATTGCTTTGTGGAGAGAATTAATCTTCTCATCCAAAGTTGGATGCAGTATGCCTCCAAAACCCCCTGTTGCAAGCTGCATGTGCAATTGATTTTATCAAAAAGGCAGTGCTTGATAACAAAATGAGATCGTGAAATTTAAATATCAAAGTAGTCTTTATTACCTCATATATGACCTCCTTGCCAAAATTTGATCGTATCAATTCTCCTACATTCTCAATGCATATATCAAGAAGACTCTAGAGAAAATTACAATCAAACATTATTTTCAGTACAACTTCACAATTCAGAAGTTAATTGGCCTGATCTCTCAGATTTGTAAATAATCAAAATCAATACATCACAGTATAAAACACAAGTAATACATGGAAGGATAATTATAATATTAGAAGGAAAGCTAAAGCAACCCACCTCTGCAAGTCCACTGTTGATCAAGAGCTCTTGCCTTCTGACAAATGGGTCTTTCTTTCCACTCTCAGCAAGGTCAGTAACATCCTCAGAAGTTTTATCTTCATTAACTTCAGGCATTTTCACTTCTATGTCTTCCTTGGAATCATTCTCATCAACTGAAACCTTGGAAGTTTCTGTCTGAGAGCTTGCTTCTGACTGATCCTGGCAGCATTCAAAATGAATGGAGTGATTAATGAGTTGCTTAAGTACAGCAAGACGGAAAAGATGGGAACAAAAGAAACCTTGAGAGACAGAGAAGGTATAGATGAATTCATAGAAGCAAGTTCATCAGGACTGAAATAGCGTGAACAATTGGGATGCAGTAGTTGGAGTAAAGGACGTCTTCCATTCTGAAAATCCATAAATTAGAATTATATGCATAAAAACGTCATAAGCAACATCATAAGAACATAAAATAAACAGCCTTTATGCATGGTTTTATGATGGGATTGAAGAAGCTAGGGCAGGATAACAAAAAATACTGAAAAATGCTAACTGTCTGGTTGCATATAAAAAGTTTCAAGAATATTCGTATTATTATTTGATGAAAACTACAGTTTATAGTGCCTTCTCTTTTATAATGCTTGTATATATCATATGAGAAGTATGAAAGAAGAAACCTTATCCAAAATAAGCTCCTTCAGAATTGATTGAAGCTCGCGAATGATAACCTGTAATGAGAATATTTTAAAAGCTTAATATGAAACAAAAGTTTCATTATAGAGCAACAATTACTATTCAATAGATAGATTATCGAAATCAAACCTTTGTTATCAGTTTTGTGTCGTCAACAACTGAAAAGATGGAAACCAGCACCTAAGAGTTTAAGTGAACAATATTCAAATTTTAAGTTCTGAATGAAAGGTAAATTGTGAAGAATTAGAATTTAGGGGCAATAATTCCCTTTCACAGATAATGGGAGTTCATTGATTATTTTATAATCTGTAACACATTAATTATAAACAAGTAGAGAAAGAATAGAGTAGCGAGTGAAGACTACATATGGAAAGCAAGCAACTACTGAGTCAATAAACTTGCAAGGAATGACTCAAGGAACAGTGGAAGCATAAAAATATAGATATGTTAAGCAAGCACGTGCATGCCTTAGTGTTCTGTAAACACATATTTCATAACTATTTTCAAATTTATTGTCTTTTGAGTGTGCCATATTTAACTAGTTCCATAAAACCAAAATTTTTATCATTATGTATGACGCCCATTATGCAAGAATTAGAGTTTGATACCAATAATGAAAAAGATAACTAAACATAGATAAGCTAAGCAACAAAATATAGCAAGAATCAAAGCACTAACCATACACCCATATTGATGAAACGCAGTCTTTCCTACGTGCTCTTTCAATCCTTTGATGATCTTCTTTCTTTCCTAAAAAGGGAATGTGAAGTAGAAGGATGAATTATATGTCAGATTCAATAATCAGGGGTACTTAACACATTTCTATTAGAAAAATTAATTACTAAAGAAACCTTGGCACTCCCATATTTCAGACAAAGTACTCCAATTTTGGCTCCATCCTTGGTGCCAATCATTCTGACAAGGAGTGGACTTGACAATTGTTGGAGTATATCTGTGACAGAGGACTTTAAAAAAACTCAATTTAGATAACAAAAAGCTATTGCCATAACCAAATTACTTAGCAGTAACGAGAACCCCCACGGATTGTTGGAGGAAAGAGGAAAGAGGATCTATGAATTGTAGGTGGAAGAGGGAGATACCTTATCAGCGATGCTAAAGTATTCCAGCAAGACTCTGTGTAAGATAGAATGGTCAACTATCCCTTTCTCTAAAATTGGCTGAATCACTGAAGACATATGACGCGAAACTGCGCCTTTTTGTAGACCCAACTTGGACATTATATCTAATAACCTGACATGCAATTAAAAGCTAAGTAAAAATACTCCAGAAAGAGGAAAATAAAATAAAACATTGTAATGAATTCCATCCAATCGCGACAAATAAAATTAAGAGATTAAGTAAGACCAGTTGGGGAATAGGAGCAATTGTTGCTAACAAAATTAGGAGACTACTTTATACAAAATTAAATAATTCAACTTGTTATGTTTTCTAAGTAATATTAACTATTTTTAATTTTAATTATCGATGTTTAAACCCATATTATGAAGGTATATTCTTCGGTGTTCTTGCGCATAAAGTGTTTTTATGTAGACGACATAAGAAACCTCTAGTTAAACACCTATTGGATAACTTGCAAAGCTCGCTTCTGCCTTTATATGCAGGTCTCAATGATATAAAATTTAAAAAAGTTGGAACAGGTTTTTCAACTCTCCTTATGTGAGTTGGTGAGGTTGAGTATATCCTTTATCCTATATATTACACACACAATAGCACTCTCCCGACCAGAAGAACAATCAACTCTAAATTCCAGCAATGATCTTTATATCATGTATAAAATGTGGCGCCTAGAAGAGATATAGACAAGCAACAATGTCCCAAATGTTTTAATATAATTCCTAACAGCAAAATTTTACCTGGTCTCCTTCGCCGAGACTAAGTCCTTAAACAACTGAAGCTCTGTAGAATATAATTCCAAAAGCAGTTCCTGCTTTTGTGCAGCACTTGCTAAGTCATATGCATGCTCAACAACTACATCACATGTAAATACACAACTTAATTAAAGGTCGTTAAGTCGGCTAAATACTGAAATATTTGAATATTGACAATGACAATTAGTATTGTTTGGTGCATGAAAAACAGTAGAAATACGGAAAGAAAGCCAAAAAACAAATTTTGAATCCCCTCTCTCTCTTCCTTCTTGTTATAAATGTCCAAAACAAGTGAAAAGCTTTGACCTGGTAAGCCATTGAAAACTATGAAAAATAACTGAAGCAAACCATGAACAACTGCCAAATACTGTTCAAACCTATGTTACATACCAACTGATCCAACCATGTGGCGAAGAAGAGGAGCAACATGACCACGAAGTGAGGAGATAAACCCTGCCAGCTGTTTCTTCGAGGCTGAAAATGAGGGATATCCATTTAGAAGAATACATGCCACTGATACACACAAATGATATTATACACAAACACATATTTCAAGCAGACCATTACCACTGTCAAGCATCTTCTTTACTAAGTGAACTGCATACGCATTGTAGGCTAGAGTTAGAAAATGAGGACGAAGCTCCTCAAATACTCCATCTCTTTCCGCTTGAGAACAATGTTTGACACATGTCTTTCAATTCAAACACAAACAAAAGCCAAATATTAAAACTTAAATATTTACACTAAAACAATACAAAACCGAAAAAATAAAACTTCAAAAAGTATACCTGAAGAACACGAGAAGTAACGTGAGACCCTGCAATCTCATGAATCTTCCCCTTCATTTTTGCCAGAGCTTCTGTCACCAACCTACCATAAAATTAAAGTCCAGCATAAATTAAAAATCAATACAAATGCTTCAATTCATATCTTTTCTGCAGAGTAACCATACTTAGATCGATCTTCTTTCGCAATCTCGTGACGCCTCATCTTTTCCCATAGACGCGCAAGATCCTAATTACAATTAGGTATTTAATTACCCAGAATTTCAATTAATTTACAACACAGTAAAAGCTTCAATTCAATTAACTAACAAAAATAACAACAAATTGAACCAATAATGATACAAA